TGATTCAATAAAGCTAGATCATACAACTCTGATAATGTGTTATTTGTTATATACAATCACTGAATTTGTGTGTGTGAAATCTGGGAAATAAACTAGAGGGCACTTGCACGGGTTTTCATAGTTACTTAAACAGGAAATCAAGTAACTTGTAATGTATTTACATCAGCGTTAGTTATGAGGCAGTTATATACATAAAAATCTTAACTGATAGTTTCTCAAAGAATCTCGTCTGACAGTTCACTAAGAAATCTTGTGTGACATATTTATACTATTTTTTTTCTTTTTTATAGGAAAGACACGCTTTCTAATTGCCATATTTTCAACAATAGTTGATCACAACTAGAAGATAAAATGATAAAAATTTCAGCTCAATCTGCCTTAATTTACAAGAGTTAACACGATAAACAAAGTATCAAATCTCGTGTGACATTTAGTGTGACCACTGCCTTTTCAATTTTTATTTTATGTCGTTTTATTAACAAAAAATAGAACAACTTTCCAGTTTTCTTTGCTAGTTTTATTTCTCACTAATTGACTTTCGTTCAACACCAACCCAACCAATTTCTAATGTGTTGTTGCATGGCAAGGTCGTTTTTAAATTGCGTGTGACACAAAACTAAGGATTGAGGGTACATCTGATATTCAAGAAAAAGTGTAATGAGAATCATGATAGAAGAACCAACTGGTCTCATATCTGAAACTTGTACACTATCTACTATAAATATTGGAAACTTTCAAATTCGAATCATAAGAGAATCAATCGGTTATATGACATTTTTGTTCATTACACGTCAGTGAAAATCGAACTTTTGAACCTTGAGCATCCGATATCTCAAACTCTGTGCAAGATAAATTTGTGATTTTATGTGTGGTAGTGAGCACTAACTAGAGACGTCTAACCTGAAAAATTCATAAAGATTGGTTGAGAGGAACTGTAGTTATTAAACTTTTACATCTCGGAAATCCAACGGTACAATAATTTTGCAATTCACTCATATATAAAGAAGAATGTCTGTTTGTTTGTTTGTTTGTTTGTTCGCGATTCACTCAGGCCCTGTAATAGCTAGCGTCACCAAACTTTCCACGATTCTTTTCTGGATACTGGGAAAGGTCGACGTCCACTTTTTCCGAAAAAGAATCAATCGTTCGCTTGCTACAGGCTGCCTATGTTACTGACCAATAGGATTGCAGCATTTCCAAATATTCAAGTAATTGGTAGCGAAGGCGGCCGAAGGCCATCTGAGCGCACATCTACTACAATTTACACGTTCCATCTATCTATATACCTGTATAGATCTTAATCTATCTGAACTATCTGAATATCTTCTATTTGTACATGTAAAGAAGAGTACCTGTTGGTCCGTTTCCTCTTACCCTTCTCTGCCCTCTTCCATCTGTTCCTTCTCTCCCTGGACACATACACTCTCCTTCGAACTGCAATTTTTGTCAATATTTCAGAAATTTAAAAATCTTTTCTTTCTTTGTTTTAATTGTGAGAGTTTTGACCCTCACTATCAATGTGAATATATGCATGTATAAACATCGGCAGGACATACAAAGGCAGGAAAACTTGAAGGAATATGCACCTAGTCTGTAACAATTGAAGGTTCCAATGTAGAAAATTTAGGAAAAAATCAGTTAAAATCATACGCTTTTAATCGATTTTTCATTGATTTTTAATGAAATAATCTAAAAAGCTGAATTTCCATTGACTGTTTCAACTATTTTCGATTATAATCGATTAAAAGTGATCACAGAACATCGATTTTAATTGATTTTTTTTACCAACTTCTAACCAATTATGATCGATTTTTTTACCAAATTTTAATCGATTAGAATCGAAAATAGGTGAAATAATCGATGGAAATCCAGCTTTTTAGATTATTTGATCAAAAATCGATAAAAAGCGTATGATTTTACCCGATTTAATCAAAAATTATTTGATTTTTCTGTCAATTTTTTTTACATGGGTTCCATATCGTATCATACTGAAAAATGTATGTATATGAATCGTATTCCTTGCTCAAAATGATGACGTATTTGTTATTATTTTTGCTGACTCAAATGATGATTCCATACGTAATCTATATATATACATACCATATGATTATATGATTATGTAGTCAGTTATGGTACATGCCTTGAATATTACTTGGTTTCTTTGGTATTTGTTGTGCATTGCCATGACGTATCATATTCCTTCTGTCGTGTAATATGCCGTTATACGAATTTTCAAATGATGTCATGGGATAGCGCAATCGAAATGTTTTCGTATTTTCTCTCGATATATATAGATATCTTTTTTCATTGTTGTTTATTAAAAAAACTATATAGTTTCATACAATATCTTCTAACGTTTCTACTTACCCCAGTAATATTACGAGATGCCACAAAAAAAGAAGTTCTTTGGGAAGAAGCACATCCGCTTCAAGAAGAGTGGCAGCCTCCCGAGCTGCTGAGACTCCAGAACAAACAAGTACTCGGCTTGGAGATCAACGCACAAGACAAGGGCTTCCAGAGCCGCTGAGACTCCAGAACAACGACAAACACGACGTGAGGAAGATCGAACAAGACGTTCCACTTCAAGAGCAGCACGTTGGACATTTATGGAGCGGGAAGCATTTCAATATGATCCAACCAAAAATTATGACAGTCATCCTCAACTTTATATTGGACGAATGACAGAGGTTTGCTCATATTGTGATGCACTGAAGTGGCCCGGAGAAGCACCAGGTATGTGTTGCTTTAATGGTAAGGTAAAGCTACCATCGCTTCGACTACCTCCTGAACCATTGGAATCATTAATGTCAGGAACAACTGCAACATCAAAGCATTTCTTGGAGAACATTCGAAAGTACAATTCATGCTTTCAAATGACGTCATTTGGTGCCACAAGCGAAGTGTGTGAGCCAGGTTTCATGCTCACTTTCAAAGTCCAAGGTCAAGTTTACCATCGTGTAGGATCTCTGTTACCGCCGACAAATGAAGAACCTAAATCTCTTCAAATTTATTTCATGGGAGATGAACAGCAAGAGGCAAGGCAACGTTGTAATAATATTCCAGGTACATGACAAGATATTGTTATGGATTTACAGCGAATGCTTCATGAGTATAACAGCTATGTCCGTATTTTCAAGTCTACTCTTCAGAAGATGCTTTCTGACGAATACAGAGTGGTCATCAGCGCAGACAAGAAGCCTGCTTGGGGGCATGCAAGACGCTTCAACAAACCTTCAACAAATGAAGTAGCAGTCGTCATCGTTGGTAACGAATTTGACAGGCGGGACATCATTTTGGAGAAGAAAAACAATCAGTTATAGAGAGTGGCAGAAACGCACAGGTCATATGACGCCTTGCAATATCCGCTTATCTTTTGGGAGGGAGAAGACGGGTATCATTTTCTTATTATGCAGACTGATCCGACGACAGGAATGCCTGTCGATCGCAACAAGGTTTCGGCCATGGACTTTTATGCTTACAGAATAATGATGCGAACTGGCGCTTTAAATCACATCTTAAGATGCCGTTAACTTTTCCATCAGTTTATCGTTGATGTGTACGCCAAGATTGAGAGTGAGCGACTATGGTTTATACGGCTTAACCAAAAGAAACTTAGAGTAGACGAATACATTCACTTAAGAGATGCAATAGCTAATGATGGCAACACCGATAACGTCGGTCAATTAGTGATACTACCATCTACATACACTGGAAGTCCACGCTACATGCACGAATATACACAAGATGCTATGACATACGTGAGAAACTATGGAAGACCTGATCTATTTGTGACATTCACCTGCAATCCGACATGGGAAGAAATTCAAGAAGAGCTGTTGGATGGTCAAATTCCGTCCGACCGTCATGATCTGTTGGCAAGAGTGTTCAGGCAAAAACTCATAAAATTAATGAATATTATTATCAAAAGCCATATATTCGGACCAGCACGATGTTGGATGTATTCTATTGAATGGCAAAAGAGAGGACTACCGCATGCTCATATATTGATATGGTTGAAGAGCAAAATTAAGTCAGATGAAATAGACAGCGTTATTAGTGCAGAACTACCAGATCGTCAACAAGATCCCTGTCTATTTGAGGTTATCGTAAAAAACAGGATTCATGGGCCTTGCGGTAGTATCAATCCTGAATCTTCGTGTACGAAAGATGGAAAATGTACCAAAAGGTATCCCAGACAACTTCTACATGATACACAAACGGGCGAAGATGGTTATCCACTCTACAGGAGGCGAAGTCCAGAGGATGGTGGTTTCAAAGCCAGAACTAAGGTGAAAATTGGCAACTCTATTCAAGAAATTGAAATCGATAACAAATGGGTTGTGCCATATTGCCCATTACTTTCTCGAATCTTTCAAGCTCATATTAATGTTGAGTATTGTAATTCGGTCAAGTCGATCAAATACATTTGCAAATACGTTAACAGGGGTAGTGATCAGGCGATGTTTGGCTTTGGAAAGGATGGAACAGCAATTGATGAAATTGAGCGATATCAGTTAGGACGATACATCAGCAGCAATGAAGCAGTTTGGCGAATCTTGTATTTTCCGATTCATGAACGGCATCCGACAGTAGTGCATCTGGCTGTTCACTTGGAAAATGGACAACGCATCTACTTCACGGAAGACAATTTACATGAAAGAATTAATAAACCGCCAAAGACGACGTTGACGGCATTTTTCTTACTGTGCCAGAAAGATGAATTTGCCAGAACACTGCTATATTGCGATGTTCCGAAATATTATACTTGGGATGCATCAGGAAAAGTTTTCAAACGTCGTGTTCAAGGAACGACTGTACCTGCTAATCCCAACATCAGAGCAACAGACGCTCTGGGTCGCGTCTACACTGTGCATCCAAATAATTTTGAATGCTTCTTCTTGCAACTTTTACTTCATACGATTAGAGGTCCAACTTCGTATGAAGCTCTAAGAGCTGTAAATGGTCGGATCTGTGCGAACTTTCGTGAGGCCTGTCAACTAATGGGCTTACTTGAGGATGATGCGCAATGGGACGCTACGATGGCCGAAGCAGCTACTGTTCAATCGCCTGCACGACTGAGAAATCTATTCGTCATTTTACTATTAACATGTGGTCCATCGAATCCGGGACAATTATGGGAATCCTACAAAGAAAGTTTAACCGAAGACATCCTCATACAAGCTCGCAGAGAGAATCCTGGAATAGTTTTAGATTATACACCCGATATGTTCAATCAAACATTGATTATTCTTGAAGATAAAGCTCTGGGAATGGCTGGCAAAGATCTCAAACAATTAGGTCTTCCAACTCCTCAAAGAACTCTTGGTGATTGATTGAGCAGAGAAATGCTCAGAGAGACGAGCTACGACTTGAACGAGTATATATCAGCAAATAAACCATTACTGTTACCAGATCAGAGGGCTGCTTATAATGCTATATTAGATCGGATCAATAGAAAAGCCGGTGGAATAATTTTTCTCGATGCACCAGGTGGAACAGGAAAAACATTTGTCATTAATCTACTCTTGGCTAAAATTCGACAGCAGTCTAAAATTGCAATTGCAGTGGCTTCTTCAGGAATTGCTGCTACGCTGCTTCACGGTGGTCTTACTGCTCATTTAACATTAAAGCTGCCTCTCAACCTTACACAATGTGAAGCTCCACTTTGTAATATTAGCAAAGGTGCTGAAGAAGCCAAAGTTTTACAAGAATGTAAACTTATTGTATGGGACGAATGTACAATGTCACATAGACAAGCATTAGAGGCTCTGGGTTGTACACTTCAAGATCTTCGTGGCAATGGGAAACTCATGGGTGGAGCTGTTTTGCTTCTAGCTGGTGATTTTTGTCAAACGTTGCCTGTCATCCAGAAAGGAACAATGGCTGATGAACTCAAAGCCTGCTTGAAAGCTTCATACGTCTGGAGACATGTTCATAAGCTGGAACTCAAAACCAACATGCGAGTACATTTACAGGGTGATGCAGCTGCTGGCCAATTTGCTCAACAACTACTTAGTCTTGGAGATGGAAAAATAGCTGCTGATCCGACCACTGGACTTATCACTATTCCAAATAATTTTTGTAATATAGTAGACTCAATAGAAACTCTGAAAACCTGTGTATTTCCAGATATTCGACGCTGTTTTAATGATCACAAATGGCTCTGTGAAAGTGCTATTCTTGCTCCGAAAAATGATAGTGTAAATGCTATTAACTTACAGATTCAACAACAGTTGCCTGGAGTAGACATTTCATACAAGTCAATTGATACAGTTGTGGACATTGACCAAGCAGTACAATATCCTACCGAATTTCTCAACTCGCTGGAACCTCCTGGAATGCCACCACACAGTCTGGTGCTCAAGGTTGGCTCTCCGATCATACTTCTAAGAAATTTGGATGCACCAAGACTCTGCAATGGCACAAGGCTTTGTGTGAAAAGCCTAATGCCCCATGTGATTGAAGCAACTATCTTGACAGGCTGCGCAAAAGGAGAAGATGTATTTATACCACGAATTCCCATGGTTCCTAATGATATGCCATTTGAGTTCAAGCGTCTTCAGTTTCCAGTGCGTCTTGCTTTTGCAATGTCTATCAATAAAGCTCAAGGTCAATCGCTTAAAGTTGCTGGTATTAATCTAGGAACTCCTTGCTTCTCCCATGGTCAGTTGTACGTAGCATGTTCAAGAGTAGGAACTGGAACGAATTTGTACGTTTTCGCTCCTGATGGTAAAACTCCAAATATATTGTATATCAAACAGCTTTGCAATAAAAAATGTGTTTAACTGAACTGTCTTCTTTGAATAAAAATAGCTCATAAAAGAAGAAAACATCGAAAAGCAACTTTGTTACATCAAAGATCGTTAACCAGAAAGAGATTACAGCGATATTGTTTTCTCTTTCGCGAGATACATACTATCAAACTATCTTGACTAACATCGGGTACTTCCGCTACTTTCCTAATAATTTTTTAATGTTGAATAAATATTTTCATCTTGCATCTATTTTGTAAACACAAAGAAGATCTTTTTAAATAGTTAGAGGTAAACGATTAACTATATACTAGTTTGATATCGAGGAAAATCTGCGGATTAACATTTTTTTTAGTTCAATTTTGGTAACTTAGTTTTTAATGGTTTCGGTACCGATCTCAGTCATGATGATTTTATTTTTTTGGATCCTAAATGAAGTCCTAGTGCCAGCTTGAAAAAACTATTGCAGAACTTATTTGCATTAAAGCTGAAAATATTCGTAGATTGATTAACTCAGTCGAGAAATATTACTTTTCTATCTGGTCATCTCTGCTAGATTTCGTTTTAACAATTGTCGTTTTTAACATAATTTACTGAATATCATAGTAAATCGAAGAAATTTTTACTAAGAGATTCCAAACTTTTGGACAATTCTTTATTCTATATGAAATATAAAATACATTTGTTTAAAAAAAAATTTTCAAAAAAAGAAAAGAAACAAAATTTTATGTATTAACACTAGTTTGTTTGTGTCGTGGTGTTGTTTGTTGTGTTCGTAAAAATTTCATACTAATTAAATCCTGTTTACAACCTGTATGACTTGCAAATGGAGAGGATTTTGGTCGATTAAGTAAATGAGAAATACCACTCTAAATTAACACAGTTTACGTTTATTTCAAACAAAACAACACAAGATAAACTAACTCTTGGATTAATTTGTAAACGAGGTTCATTGTGTACATTTGATGTACCACCATTATGATAAGGATGTACAGGACTATCTGGTGATTGAGCAAATGGTGGTTTATTATTTCCAACAAAATAAAATGCTGAAAGACGAGAATTATTCCTATTTAAAAAATATTTTTCATGAAATATTTCATATTAAGAAAAACAATTCACTTGAAAGAATTCGATGTAATACTTGTTGTATCCGATATTCCAATATTCGATTTTGAATGTACAAATAAAATATCACCTTAAAATAGAAATTTACAGTTACTTTATGCTATAGTAATTATACTTGCTTGAGGATTGATCACTATTCAAACGATATGAACTTCTTGCCCATGCGATTGCCTATTTTATATTTAAATTTAAAAAAAAACAATATAAAATCTTAAATCGATTTTTTTTCAAATAAAAGTCAATTGATTAAATTTTAATGAGAATCTTTAGATATTGTAGCATTTTTTATTTTCATTTAAACAAAAATGATTTTTCTGTTTTTCAAACCTGTCCACTTGGCCTTGCTAAAATTGTTACACATTCTGGACCAGTTTCCCATCGTTTTTTTTCTTTCCATACAAATATATGTGGAAATTGAGGTTCAATATCTTTAAATGCACCACACCAAACCTTAAAATAAAGCTTTTGTTTCAAAATAATTAATTATTAGCTATTCATTATTAACCGTGATAGTTTGTCCAGCTCGAAGAATTGTACCTTGTGGAAATCGAAAACGACAAACTGGTACACAAGCAATATTTTGTTGTAAAAAATGTCCACTTAAATCATAATCATCAGAATTTGAAATATTAAGTAATCGAAGATAATCTCCATTGTTCGATTCAATTTCATGAATACGAACATTTGTTAATGCACTAATTTGAAAAAAAAGAAAAAAGAAATTCCAAAATAAAAAACTTACTTTCCCATTTTAAAACCAATATTTGGTTGAGTTGTAACTTCATTATGATGTTGTTTAAATAAATCTGGTATAAGATCAGAATTTAATTTAAAACTTTCATTTGAATTTGATATTATTGGTGTTGTTATTTGTATATTTGAATTATCGATTTCTGTTAATGGTTTTTCAAATAAGTCAATATTTGATTCTTGATTTTGATCATTGAATGTATTTAACTCTTGCTTTTCATCAATACTGAAACTAACTGATTTAGGTGATTTTGCACGTGTTGATGATTGATCAGATTTTTTTAAATTTGATGAACGTTTACTTGTTGAAGAACTCGGACGATTTTCAATAGTTGAAGAATTTGTTGATGTTGAATCAAATGATGATGCTGAATATAATGATAAACGATCAGTTCGACGACTTGATGGACTATTTATTTGTTGATCTTTTGTACTTAAATTTGTTACAGATTTTGATTCAAATTCTTTCATTGACATTGATCCTGGAATTGGTTCATTATCATTATCATCATCTTCTTCATCATCCCATTCAGATTTTGTTACATCAATTGGAATTATTCTTTAAAAAAAAACAATATAATTTAACTTAAAAAAGATTGAAATTTGAAATAATAAACCGACTCATCATCATCTTGTTTTTGATCAATTGTTGCTTCATTTAAAACTGTTTTAATTGTTGTTAATTCTTCAACAATATTATCATGTGTTTTTGATACAATTGACATTAATTCATGTAATTTTTCATGAATTATTTTTACAGATGATAATTTTTCTTCCAAATTATGAACAAAATGAATTAAACGTTTTATTGAATTATAATTTAACATTGATTTATTATTTCCAAGATGAATCTGTTTCACATCCATTTCGTTTTTGTCTCTGATCAAATGACTTTTTGACGGCAAAAATGTTTTAGATGCCTGTTGAAAAATAAACAATATATATATATATATATAAATTGATGAATGCAAATGCAATCGTTGCACACCTTGTGAGTGGATCACTTATATGCAACGCACGAACGTGTGAAAAAAGAAATTGACAACGAGTAAATCAATCAATAATAACGACGGCAACCATCAACTTCAATCAATGAATTTATTCAAGAAAAAAAGACGAAAAAAATTTCAAAAGAAAAATGAAAAAAAAGAAAAGAAAATGATTGTTGTTTGAACTCTTTTTTTAAAATAACACTTTTTAAAATTCCGAATCAATATAATGGACAAAATAATAACATGCAATAGTTAAGTTTAAAATAACTTTTCATTTTCATCTTAGCTACAACAAGTAGTATCTGCTATCATCATTAAATTAATCCTATCGAAAGTGAATATATTTATTTAGTATTTCTTTTTGATAACTTTGAAAAGAAGAATGTATGTTCTTTATTTTATACTTGTTTTAATTATGACCTTCTATGCATATTGAATTGATATACCAAAAAAAGAATCATCATTTAACTAAGGAAGAAGAACATCTTTGCTTCAAAAGAAAATTCATTGTTATTTTATCAATTATCTATTTGACCTGCTCAAGAATAAACACAGACTATTTTTTCTTTTGATAGCTTTGGTGACATTCTTACAATGCCAACATTATATTGTATGACTTTCGTTATGATACCATATTTTTGTTAGATTAGTAGTGCTTCAACTACATTGATGCTTTCTTTTCTTTTCTTTTTTCTTTGTTATTTAACACATGATGAGTGGAGCTGAAGGAGAAGACAAAGAATCGTTGACCTAATTAACTGCTTTTGTAAGCTTTCACAATGTTTCTTATTATTATTTGATTGACTTACAATTGCGAGTAACATTATCTAATGAGTTCAAGTTTTCGTTGTTCCATAGAGAAATGCGATAGATATCTTTATACACAAGGTACATTCAGATTTATAATGTTTTGTAGGCTTATACAAAATATCGCCCAGTACTAATTATCATAAAAATTTTCAAGAATATTAAAATTAAGTTCAAAATATTTAAAATAAAATAAAATAAATATAATTTTCAATTGAGTACATAAATCTTTCAATATATTCGTTGAAATTTGTTGTATAATTTACATGAATGTACAATATTCTCGATGAGAAAAATATGAAATACTCTAATATTTCGATTTTTCTGTTATTTCAAAAGCTTTTTATTTACTTACATAAATTTTGTTTTTTTTTTCATCAATAATACTCATCGAATAAAACAGCAAAGAAGGCGCTTCATACCTGTAAGGAATGTCTTTTTTTTTCTTAGAAAAAGATTTTCAAATTTGCGGAAGATGTTCTTAGTCTTGTCTATGGCAAACACTGAATAATACAAAAAAATAGACTAAAATGAAACGATTTCAGATTATGTAATTATTAATTAAAGGTAATTTACAAGCATGTTGTCTTAAATTTTCTGTTCTTCGATGCATTTTTTCATTTAAAAATATTTTCATTTTATTTCAGTTAAGTTTATCTTTGTATGTATTTTACAAAACAATGAATGACTTATTTATCGTTATCATTTATATCAAAAAATTATAGATATAGATTAATATCCTTGCTTATGACATGTATTTTTAACTATATCAATTTTCTTTTATCATCATGATCAGTTCAGTATTCTTCTTATGTTCATGTCTTCTGTTTTATTTTTTGTTTATTATAAATGACTATAACATCTTTCACAATGATGTTATTGATCTCAAGATATTGATAATAGATGTTCATATGAATTATGATGGTCTCTGTTTAGTCAAGAAACACTGATAAAAAAATTGACACATTTGAGAAGACAAAGAATTTAAAAAATCAAGAGAAGAGCTTAGAAGGTCTTCTATTTAGATAAGAACAATTTTGACTCGAGAGGTAGGCATTTCATCATAGTGTGAAACTGTAAAGAATGTTTTTCTGGAGTTTTAGAATGCATTTTACGTGGATAAGATAGCTTTCAGTTTTTTTTCCATGAACATTACTCACTGGGTAACACGAAGGTACTATGATTGTAAATAAATTTTAAAAATTATCAACTTTACTTTTTTTACTCTTTGCAAATTAAAGTTTGTGAAAAATAATACTCACTAAATCATAAATATATTGCAAATCTGTTTTATTGTTATCTTACTATTGAGGTTAACCTTAAACTCTATTCAGTTACCGGTTTTTTTTGTATGTT